AAGAAAAAGAAAAGAAAACAAAGAAGAAAAAAAAATAGCGCGTCGCATTTCTTTCCTGATTTCCGCCATTCCGCTTCCCGCCCTTTCCCCTCCGGCCTCCCGTACCGCTCCCGCTCCCTATTCTCCCGGGCCCCTGCCCCCTGTCCCCTCTCCCCCCGCACTGAATTAGTTTTTCCCAAGAAACGCTTTCAAGGTTACACTTTTTAAACTTTTTTGCGGAGGCATAAAGCATGTCTATAATATTGCTTAACACAACACTGTTCTATTTATGGTTCAATGAACGTTACGTTTATTCTACATCACCTTTGTCTAAGCAACACTTTTCAGTTGTTTTATCAATCTTGGGATACATGCAGAACTGCAATTACTTCTTATTCACAGCACAGAGGGAAAGCTATGATATACTAAAATTAGATGGTTTCAACTCGTTTGGAGTAATTTAACAGTAATTAGCATTTCCTAATCTAAAAGGCCTCACTCTGAAAACGGAAATTACAGCGTCAATTCCAACTTTATTTTTTTTACGAAGTAGTACCTATTTGAAGACGATGATAAAACACTGTGTATTTTCGGCGCAAAGTCTTACAAGTCATAATCTATCTTATTTAAAAAAGTGGCAAATTTCCAGTTATGACACACAAAGAAAAACCGTTTATGATAAGAACTTTCACTCACAAAAAAGTTGTCCCTGCCAAAAGTTTAAAATGTCGATAACCAAAGTAACGAAAACAAACATGAATATTTCTCAGATCTTTCAGTTGACAGTAAGTAAACTCAAAATCAAATTTGAAAATCCAGCTAGTTAGAAAGTATTTACTGTAGATGAAATGGCTAGCTCTGTCTTACTGTACTGTCACTATGTCAATTTTATGATGCTAAATAACTGTTGAACCTATTTTTCCATAAGCAGGATTTTTCTTCTCCTTTCTTCTCGTCAAGATTATAAGAAGGTTTTCCGCTCGCGAGAAAGGAAATTGTCATTCACATTATAAAGCAACTAGAAAGTGTTTGATTTTCATAGTTTTAATGCTACTACCCAAAAACATAAAAGAGCTGGGATGGAACCTTTTTATGGCAGAAGTTCTTGTCTTATGAGTTTAGCACTGGGCAGTACTCGCCTAGCATGACCGAGCTATATTAACTGAGCCAACCAAGATGGTTCTCAGGGGTCAAACACACAGTTTGTTGATCGTTCACACGTTGACCAGATAGTTTCCCACCGCCCAGGAGATGTCAATCCCTTTGGCCATTTTCAGAACGGTGTTTGCTGCGTAGACGAACTGCTGTAGGGCATTGCACCTGAATCGCTCTTGGTATGGTGTCTGATTCTTGTCATGGTACACAAAGAACAGGACATTATCCTGTGTGCCATACTGCAGCCTGGAATCTATTTTCAGCTTCTGTGGTATATCGTATCCACCCTGAATGTAAACGGGCACACTGTTACCGTTGCCGGTGGTGTAGTCGCACAGGACATAGTTTTGACTTCTGTCTCCACCAAATCCAACGAATGAGCCCTGCTTCCAGTTGACGGTGACCGTTTGTCCCTGCTCTTGAGCATTAGGGTTTCGCCATTCAAAGAACCCATTGTAGCAGATTCTAATGTGATAAAATAAAGAAATGGATAATGTAACGTTGTTCGTATGTAGAACAGAGAAGAATCGACCAGAACTGCAGATACAAACTGCTGTGTTTAATCTACACTCTCGACTACAGCTGACAAGTCAAAAACGGAAAGCATGGTCTGAGCCGTTACCATGGCAATGTCAGTCATGAAACTTAGACCGGAAGCGAATCAATCAATATGGATATCGTTACAGATAATCAACCGCCGTTAGTAATGATTTCGATATTGTATTTTCGAAATAACTTTCTGATCTGTACAATATATTAGCGCCCACTGTCAGGGTTAGTCAATAACGGCGTTCTCAGGATACCACAGTTAGCTTGTTACCCATGTTCATTCAACGCTATGATACTATGATGATAAAATCAAAATACTGACATCAAATGTAGTTTTGCGGGGGTAAATGCGGTAAACATATGAAAACATAAGTTGTACACCAGAATTTTCCAGGCTCAAGAAATTTACAGTAATTGAACACAGAGTTATGGCGATAAATAATCACGAAACCCATGAAAAGAAATATTGATCAGAAAGATAAAGCACAATTTTCAGTTCGCATCAATTTTGTCATTCCGGTTCGGTAGTAACAATCGAACTGCTAAAGGATTGCAAGAGTACGCAGCTTTAGCTTTGACTGAGAAGACAAGGCTCTAAATAACTGTTCGATCTGTTTTTACTTGTTACCTTTCTTTTAGCTTGTGAACGGAAGAAAAATTGAGTTCCAACAAGGATCAAATTCGCCTTTTACAAAATGTATTTAAAATAAAAATGATAAACAAAGACGTGCGTAGTAACCGAGGAAACTGAAGATCGAACTGGCAAAAAGATGGAACGAAAATGAAATCGGCTGTTGATGAGTAATGTGATAAAACACGAATGTATATCGTAAATAACGAAAGACGATAAGCAAACTAAGGG